ATGTGTGCAGAATAATCATGATCAGCCTATCCAATATGATGTTTTATTATTGATTAGATGAAATGCCCACCAGACAATAAATCAGTTCAAATGAGTTGCGTCGCGACCAGCTACAACATTAAAATGCTTCTCACACATTAATGCATCAGTAATAATGATTCAATAATATCATATATTATAATATAATATACTCATTTTCTTTGTAATGAGTAGGCCTACTTACTTACCTAACTTTTGATACTTAAAGGGGTTATCTGCAGATTTTGAATGACATCACATAACTTGATGTTAAAATGAACCACAGGCCTGTTTTCTCTGTCCCTTGGAACAGCCACTGTTCTACATTGTATGTGAAGGAATCGAGTCAGACTTTTTGCATTTGCTCCTTGCTTTGCTTCTTGCTTATACTGCCAATACTCAGGTACACAGCTTCTTCGCTGGTCTCAGTCGCCGTAACTTACGTGACCCACATAATATACAATAATGCAATATAACAGTGCAGGATACAGCGGAAGACCCATTTAGAAAGTTACACTAATGTTACTTACTACAGTCTGACTGTAGTGTAGCTCACTAACCGCTTTCATTATCATCATCATCAAGTAAATTTAACTATGTCTCTTACACTTATTCATTTAGCTGATGCTTTTTTATCCAGAGCGACTTACAATTGCTAATTATGTCAGAAGTCACACACCTCTGGAGTAACTAGGGGTTAACTCAGGGACACGTTGGTAGACGTGTCACAGTGGGGGATTGAAGCCAGGTCTCTCACACCAAAGGTAGGCATCTTATCCACTGCCCCATCACCACCCCGGTTCAGCATGAAGCTGATAAAAATACACCCACTTTATTAGGTACACTTTGCTAGTACCGGGTTGGACCCCGTTTTGCCTTCAGAACTGCCTTAATTCTTCTTGGCAGACTTTCAACAAGGTCTTGGAAACATTCCTCAGAGACTTTGGTCCATATTGACATGATAGCATCACGCAATTGCTGCACATCCATGATGCGAATCTCCCGTTCCACCACATCCCAAAGGTGTGACTGGTGACTGTGGAGCCCACTGGAGTACAGTGAACTCACTGTCATGTTCAAGGAACCAGTTTGAGATGATCTGAGCTTTGTGACGTGGTGCATTATCCTGCTGGAAGTAGCCATCAGAAGATGGGTACACTGTGGTCATAAAGTGATGGACATGGTCAGCAACAATACTTACTTGCAAATTTTAGCCTCAGTTTTCTGTTCTTAGTGGACAAGCGCTCACTGGATATTTTCTCTTTCCGGACCATTCTCTGTAAACCCGAGAGATGGTTGTGCGTGAAAATCCTAGTCGATCAGCAGATTCTGAAATACTCAGACCAGCCTGTCTGGCACCAACAACCATGCCACATTCAAAGTCACTGAAATCCCCTTTCTTCCTCATTCTGATTCTTGGTTTGAACTTCAGCAAGCTGTCTTGACCATGTCTACATGCCTAAATGTATTGAGTTGCTGCCATGCAGGGCTGATTAGCTATTTCTCTTAACAAGCTATTGAACAGGTGTACCTGATAAAGTGGCCGGTGAGTGTATTACTGCAATGTTGCAGTGGGAGTGTACCTGAGTTTCATTTTTTGTGATGCTGTATCTTGTAATGTGTTTTGGCCAATGCCGAGTGCTCGCTCAATAGTTCGAGAAAAGTGTTAGTGGTTGCAATCTGAAACCTCACCACTAGAGGCCACTGAAAACTACACATTTACAGCCTTTAAAGTACATTTTGCTTATCTTTTGTAAGACTTGAACATTTTGATTGCAGGAAATTTACTTGAAGTTTATTATTATCACATTGTGGTAGTCTTAATTCAAGTAAAGGATTTAAAAACTTCTTATGTTTTGTAAACTTCTCATGAAATATTATGCATGCATTATTGATTACACTACCCAACAGTATGTAAAATTGTTAAATGATCTCCACCTCAACCTAAAATGCTACACACACACACACAGTAATCCATCAGTAATTATAATCAACCCATTCTTATCCCAGGGCGTCTGGTCAAGACCCCTTGGCATCGCTTTTTAACACCCTGGGTATCTATTAGCGTTTTGTAGGTGTAGGGCTCTGCAGTCAAGTTAGCAAGAATAAATATGCAACTAGTGGTTTACAGGAAATGGCATGTGGTAAATGTTGTGAAACGTCACAATTTGGTTAGGTTTAGGCAACAAAACTACTGGGTTAGGTTTAGGAAAAGATCATGTTTGGGTTATCAAATTTCTGCATTTTACTTTCGATACTTTGCCTACATTTAGCTAATAATGCGTACCTTTACTTAAGTAACATTTTCAATGCAAGATAACAAAATAACAAGGTCTTTCTTGTTGTGTTTTTACTATACGGAAATATTGACTTTAGTCTGATGGAACACAGCGTCCATTTTCACATGAGGTTGCGAAACCACTCAAAACTTGCCAGACCTAAATCAGCCGAGCCAAAATATTTGATAACCTCACTACTCCATTTCAAGTCTGAAATAAAAAACCATGTGAAATTAGGTCAGGCTAGTCTAGAGTAGACTAGAAGAGACTGGAAGAACATGCATCAGAACTACACGTTTAATCTAGGTTTGCTTTAACCTAAGTAGAGCCAACAATAGAGTGCACATGGGACATGCTGAAATAAGTTTTTTTTAAATGTATATTATGTATTTATAGAAATTGTAAATGACATTTGTCATTTTAAGTATGGGGTGGTCAGTTGGTCCACAACTTTGGTCAAGACTGAAATAATGAAATAATAACTATAAACTGGATTGCAGTGAAATAACAGAGTTTAGATATGATTCTGGTTTCCAGAGTATGAATCCAGCTGACTTTGCATCATCTGACTAACCTATGCCGTCTGTGCCACCATAAGCATGTGACCTCTGACATAAATAGTAATTGTAAGTCAATAAATGTAATGTAATAAGTTGACATTTATGGTTTGGAGTGCAATGTCGCCACAACTTCTGGCTGGATTGCTATGAAAATTGGTTCAGATATTCATGTCCACCCGGTTTGGTTTTAGGTCTTCCCATCAGCCTCAGCTGCTATACTAATGGTAAACATGGTAAAGGTTATATAATGTATAATATATAATGTTAGCTTGTCACTGTCAGTTGGTTTCAGTTGGTTCCACAGCAGTTACATCTACCATTTTGTCAGATCTGTAACCAAACAAATATTGATTTATATAATCAACTCTCCAAATGTCCTTGTTGGAGTATTATCTGTAGGTGGAAAGTATGAACAGTTTACTGCTAACCAAGCAAACCATTATAGCCTACTAGCTATTTGAGGCTAATGTGTTGCTAATACAGTATTCTGTTGATTTACTGTTGTGTATTTTACTCTTTTTACATTCACTCTTATGGACTGTGTATGTACATTTACTAGTTACTTACTGTGTTATACATGTGGACTTATTGTTAAGTCTTTCACCGATGTTACTTTGCTTTTTCCTGCCATGAAACTCAGTGTATCTGCTTTGACAGGCTATACTTTTGTGAAGGTGTTTCCTTGTTACAGTAACTGATTTTACACAACATTTAGTCCAGCTCTTGTGAATGGAATCTCATTGTTTTCTAATTTGTAATCACTATCATTGAATTTGTTGTCCACTTAGTGTTTTTTAACAGTTTCACAGTCATTTCCTGTAAAAACCTCAAAGGCCAACTGCTGTCTTCAACCTTTATCAGAAGTGTGTTTAGCTCACTATAAAGCTTTTGCAGATAGTGAGTGGAGAAAAATGAGCCTTCTAATGATCAGCCTTTTTTATTCAGATAACAAGGAGAGCATTGTAATTGTGTCATTTATTATATTCATTTATTATTCACTACTAACTTAAATTACTGTGTGTGTCTACAGTCTGTGACCTCTGCACCACACCTACATCTAAGCTTTCTCCCACAACTTTCTGTGGCTCGGCTGCCCTCTTGTGGACAAAGATCTTCACTCCTAAAAAACAATAAATATGTGCTGAACCACATATGTTTTCTTTTTGATGTTATTGTTTTTATTTAGCCATGATGTTTGAAATGATGCATTGCTTTATTCCTATTGAATACGAGGATAATGTTTAAGATGTTTATTGATCAATGATAACTTTAAAGGTATACTGAACTTCAGGTTGCAGTCTTCTTGTTCAGCCTTGTTGCTTTCAGGCTGCAACCTTTGCAAGAACACGCACACTTCACGTTCTGTAAGAACACACACACTCACAGTCGAACCGTGTTGCTAGCAGCCAGTATCAGAGGTGAAGGCTAAGGCCATATTTTAGAATTAATTGCAAATCCGACCGAGTCACAATGGGCCTTTATAGATTTTAACAAATTGTTGCAAGCATCTGAACTCAACCCTGATAAAAATACAACTAGACACATGAATACAATAAGCCTTTGCAAGAAGACTGCAACTCTGAAGGCTGTGAAAGTCATCTTGTGACACAGCGCACAATCTTGTAGTGCATGTGTTGATGTTAACAAACTTGTTTTATGCATATACAATGTTTTGCTAGTATCAAGATGATGTCTTAATGATCAGTGTCACATTTCAGTCTTATTTCTTTAGAAGTGTTATAGAATGCACTATTATTTTAATACTGAAGGTGGATCTTACCATAAGACCCACTAGAGGAGGAGCGAGACAGGATATATCAACCAATGTAATACAGAGTTTGAGAAGTCTGCTCCCGTGACCAGCTTGGACACATGTATTTGTATTTTGCACTTGTTTGAAATTATTACTAAACTTGAGTTAATTTGAACTTTACTGGAATCTTTGTCTCTCTGAAAAGAGTTCTATTTACACTGAAAGGACACTGGTTGAGTTACCGGTTACACTGAAGTAGCCTACTCACAGTGAGGGCCCATTAGGCCTCTGGCCCCCTCTGGGGTTCTTCCTCCCACGAAACTAAAATGTCTGCAGAAATGAAATTAAAAAAGGAAATCACAAGTGAGGTCTTGTTAGATAGCTCATCGCACTATTTTATTTAATTACTGACATCTCAGGAGAAGAGGAGAGCTTTGCAACTCTGCTGTTGGTAAACCACTGTTGTTTTGTTGTTTTGTTTTTTTTTTCATAGCGTTGATGCAACACTGAAAAAGCGCTATTTTCCAAACAAACACAGGTCCCTCATTAGTGATATGTAAGAGGCAGAGAGAATCTCACCTGGACAGTTTTGCATGAAACATACAAATGAAACAGGTTAAACCTTTTCTTTTGTCTTTTTGTAGTTTCACATATAATAATAAATATCATACCTATAAACACTCCAAAAAAATCAAAATATTAAGTCACAGGTACTGGAAAAAGCTCCACTTTTAAATCACAATGATAAATGTACAAAACAATAGACATCTCATATAAATGCTAATGGTTTTTGTTAAGAGACTTAAATCTCATTTCAGAAGAAATCAGTGGATAAAAACTAAACTTGGAGATTCAGTATTTCCTGAGGTTTATGGGTTCCCCTTAAAAGGCCAGGAGAGGGGAATGGCTTTTGTGTTACCGAGGAGATATTACAACAGGTCAAAGTGTACCTTTCAGGGTACTAGTCGGTTAAGGACAAGGAGTATTCTCTGACAATACAGCCGGGATATTAAAAGATTCTGAGCACTTAATGTAGTAGAATAAATGTACCTACACCCCACCGATCTTCATTTAGGCCACAATAGTGTTCTAAAATAGTTGATTAAAGTCATCTTGATCCTTAATAAATCTTTGCTGGTCCACTTTGAGAAGTTGTGAAGCTCCCTTTTTTACTTAAGATTACTTTTTAAAATGCTGGAAGCCACCACAACACTGAGCCGACCACAACCAGCACACTCCGACCATGTGACCAAGTAGTCAAAGCGGTCACATCTGCACTTGATGCAATGAAACGACAAAAGGAAAATATCGGGGCAAATGTACACAGATTAGGGGTTTAGGTGAGGAGAAGAAGAAAAAAAATAGCCTGAATAAAACACAAAACAAAAGTATTCAGAAAAACTGTACATGTAAACATCACACTTTCACTGAGTCCAAAACCAGAGGGAAAAAATACAAAGCTTCACACAGGTTTACAGTACAACCCCCTACACAGAGCTACAGTCTCTTATCAGTGCAGGAGAGGCAACAATTGAAATAATATAAATAACAATAGAAGTAATACAGACCACCATCAAATGATAAGTTAAAACAGGCAAGGGCTAAACCACTTTGATTTTTTTTAAACAGTGCTGTACCCACAGAAAAAAGAAAGTTTTAAAACATCTTTTATCACTCTTTGTACAGCTATACAGTACATTTATCTGACCACTTTAGCAATCCACAAGCTACCAGGGCATTTTTAATCAACACCAATAGATTACATTGTCCAGTCAATACAAAGAGAAAATCCATTGGGCATTATTAGAAAAATAAAAACAAAAACAACATGACAACACGTGGCTGTCGTTGATCACAGTAACTCCAGCACACAGCTAAAATGTTGCTCAGCGTCGACTTTAAGACACATTTACAAATCTGCAAGCGAACGTTTGGTTGTGAAAATGAGACAAGATCAACGTGGCATCACTGAGTTAGACATGATGTGAGGAGAGGATCTGCTATGGCTACAGTAACAAACGAGCAGGTTGGAGGAGACAAGGAAGACATGTGTGAGGACTCAGGTCCCACGTACATCTATGATTACGTCTGTTTTAGCCCAGAGGGGTGTTTCATAAAGCACGATTACCAGTTAAAACCAGGTTTATTTCATTCAGTAATTTAGGAAATTCTGTTTCATAAAGGAAGTTTAAATAAGTCTGACTTAACTTAGCTTAGCTACACATGTAATTTAGCTCACACATTAACATGGGAATGCACTTAAAATCTGAGTCAACATATGTGCCATGTGCACTGCAATTTAGTTAAAGCTGATTGGCGGGCCAATTGATGTAGCCTCATAGTAAGAAACATTTTCACTTTTCCCCCTGTCTTTAAACGTCACAAAGCAAAATTAAAGCGCCAGAAATTCATTTATTTAACCATATGGAGACGAGTGTGTCCCTTGTAAAAACTAAGTAAGCTAATAAATAACCTAAGTAAGTCTGTTTTTGGTCTCCACCAATTCCCAAAGGAAATATCTTTCTCTTTAGCTGCTAAATTCTCCCCTATGTTCAGGAGCTAACTCTGTCTATCTGCTGTTTGGTGCAGAGCAGCTAGTGTATAGTGGGTTTTTAAAGCTTGAGAGCAGTGAGAGTGACTCAAAACAATATAGTTGTGACCAGACAGCTAAACAATGAGCCGAGGAGAGCTGCAGATTCAGGTGACAAGTCTCTATAGGTTCATCAACAACCCCTTTCATATTGTCACATTGTCATTTGATGCATTTTTGTCATTAAAACAATGTATTGTAGCTGCTTTAAGTTTAAGCTTTAAAAATGTTTTATAAAGTTATCTACCTGGCTGGGGGTCCTATTTAATGCGTTAGAGCTGTTTAATAGTATGTTGCTTCTTATACATCATTTTTTTATATTTTGTTTATTTTCAGCTCTAATTATATGAATAAAGTTCATGTCAGTTTTGCAGGATTTTAACCCACAGCAAAAGACACAGCTGACAGAGACGTACTAGCTGATTTGAGTTCATCTTATGTCATTGCTGACCTACAACATGCAGTCTAAAGCAAAAGCTTCTGCTATAATATATTTCCCTCCATATTATATTTTTATTTTTTGTGTTGCTTTGTGGCTGCAAACATTGTGGTTTTGTGTTCACATGTCCTTTTTCTTCACTGTGAATTGATGCGATCAATATGCTTGCAAAGTCATGAAATAAACCAGACTCAACTTTGACTGCTCACATTACCTCAAAACCAGCTTTATGAAACAGATTCGTCCTGGTTTGGTTCTTTTATGAGCCTCCTTTTTTAAAACACCCCTCAGATAGACCTTGCAAACTGATTAGTTCAAACTGAGCTCCAATATGGTTTTCAAAAAAGGAGCTGTTTGCTTTTTTAATCAATAAAGCAGACCGAAAGCTGCTTCTGACTGAGTCGCGTCAAACTGTCTGTTATAATCAGTTCCTAATATGTTTGAACTGAAGCCGATATTCCAAATGAGGTAAAGACACACTCAAATCACTGTGTTATGTTACTTTAATCCTGAGCTATAAAGTGCTTCCAAACTTGCAATAGATAATAGAATTTAAATGTAAGTGTAATGCAGCCCAATCATGAAATGGTAATAAAAATGTAAAATGAATGATTTAGTATGTAAATCCAACCCTAAACTGGCCTAGTGATGGTGCAAAATTTATGAATGATGCTGAAATAGACTGATTCATGATAAATAACTGATACATTTGATAGATTTGTGATAAATACAGAAATATATCTCTCTAAACTTTGACAAATCAATAAGGTGCGAGCCACTTATGGCTGCTTGAAGAGTCATTGTCCTTGTTTGGAATGTGTCAGCCTACTGAATTAATACCTTCACAGATTGATGTTGTACAAACTAGGTCACTCCACTTATACACAAACAGAAAATCAACACACCGTCAATACAAACACTTACGTTAAATTAAAAAAAACACCACATACACACACTTACACGACTGTTTTTTTGTGCTGAGTGACTCACCATCAAAAATCTCTGTTATGAGACTGTGCTCTAAATCTGCTTTGAGAACTCTTGTGTGCCCTCAGACCACACACACATGCACACACACGCACACACACGCACGCACACGCACACACACACCATAGCAGAAAGCTGGGAGAGTAAACTGTGATGTGATTACATCTTTTTCAAAAGATTGTCTCTTGCTTCTTTTCAAACAGTGTGTTTTCAGACATAATAATCATGAGTGGAGATGGGAGAGAGGATTTGACACAGCAGAGGTCAGAGGGGGGGGGATACAGACGGACGGACGGATGGAGTCTGTTTTGGCTGAGCAGCCTTCACACACTCACATTGCATCCAGTAAAGCCATATGGATGCTAAGGTGAAACCACTGCATTCACAGCCAGTAATGAATGCATGTGAGCTCAATGTGCCCGATTTTAACTTAAAAAATACTCACAGGACAATTCCTTCACAAAAAGACCCTATAACCACTTTAAAAGTAAAAAAAAAAAAAGACGTGCAACATTAAGTCTCATTTTTCTGCCAGGTCCCATTTCCTTTTATCACTATGGATGAAAGTGCCTCGGTTATGAGGTTAGCGATAAAGATCAGTATTCACAACAAACAACAACATTGAAATTGGCTACAATGCTGCATGGGATATCATTTCTTTTTACAACTTGACAGTTACAGCAAGAGGAGATGTGGTAAAGTGCTCCCCTTGTTGCCTTAAAATGCTTCAACAATCCTGACAAGGTCATTTCAGTAAGCACACTTTTACTGATTATCTTTGATATTGCACCTTTTTCCACATTTCCAGTAGCACTGGTTATAAAACCAAGAGTTTAAACAATATATTAATCTCCTTTTTTCCCTGACAGGTGTCTGTGACCTCAATTTGCATACCCATGCTTCTTAAAAGCCTCCTTCCTTTTTTAAGAAATGAGAAATTGCCCAGAAATATTCATAATAAAATAACTGAAAATAAATTCACGTCGGGTAATGAGTCTTGGTTTCTTCGTAACCACATGCCTAAGAATCTGGAAAACCACTCCGACAGAGCAGGACCGAGGTATAGGTTCGACTGAAGTTAGACTTGATGGATCTGTTGGTCAAAAATTTACAGGTGGAAACTGTCAAACACCGTCCTGTTTTTCCTTTCTCTACCTTTTTTTGCGTATATCAAAGTCAGCACGTCCTTTAGTAGCTGTTGAGGTTAACAGGTCAGTGGATTTAGCAGCGATTCATCTACTAACAGACTACCAGAAAGCAATGCTCCAAATTTCCATGAACCAGAAATGAATTTGGAGAGAGTTACTGTTTAGAAATGACTCGAATCATGCCACTGTACAGCTTATTTTACATTTGTGTAAAGATAGAAACAAGGTAATGACACTAAATCACTGCTATTTCACTATGAATTTATCCAAACATCTGTGCTAATGAGCCGATGTGGCACTATGGTCACAGATAATTTAAGGTTAACACCTCTGGTACTCCCCTGCAAACCAATGCAGATCATTTTTTCCACATAGATCATCGCTTCCTGAGACGAATGGAGGTTGAAGTGGTAAAATGAACTGAATGAGATGAATGGCTACAGATAACAGGGCACCAAGGTCAGCGTGAACCAAATGCATAAATAAACATTTTTCAGCCTGTGATATGTTCTGGCCCGTCCAAATACATAAACATGTGGGAATAAGTAAAAGTACCATACCTACAGGACCCACTGTGCGCTGCAGTATCACTTTTGTATGTTTGCGTCTTTGTATGCAAGTCTGCCCAAATATGTGTGACTGAGGGCGACAGAGATGGACAGGCTAGGAGAAGGTCTTGGATCAGACTCAGTTCTGCTGCAGGATCAGGTTTTCCAGCTCATCTGCTGAGCGGAGCAGGAAGGCGGCGGACTCCCGGTATCCTGCAATGAGCTGCCTCACTGCTGTGACCTCAGGAGGGCTGAGCTGAGCTGAAGCTCCACCACCGCCACCTCCCTGACCGTGACTGTTGGAGCTGGAGGAGGAAGAGTTTGGGCCGACGGACTTCATACTCAGATCTGTGGGACCTGCGGACACAAAGGTGATGATTTAGGAAAACATATAGTATGGGAGATATATTAGAGAATAGGAAATAGGGTTAGGAAGCATCCTTAACCTGAGAAATGTCTTTATCTAAAAGGGGATTCCTGCACACGGGTTCTGCACAGACATTTATCAAACAATTCTGCTTCTTGAAAGTTCAGTTCACCTAAATTACAAAATTATTTTTTTTTTTTTTTTTACTTATGTGTAGTGGTATCTAAGGTTTTACTAAGACAAAGCAATGCCTTGAGCTACATGCTGACCTTAGCAAGCTAACATGCTCACAATAGCAGTGCTAACGTGATGTCCACGATCTTAGTTCATGCTAACTGTTGCCAATTTGCATAATAAAACACACTGTACAGCTGGGTCTGAAGGGAATTTCATTGGTCATTAGGTCATTAAATATCAGTACAAAATGTAATACCAATCCATCTTGCAGATGTTGAGATATTTTTCAATTTTAAAATTGGACCTGCTGTTGGCGCTAGAAGAAAAGTCAGGAGATCACAACAGTCATTAGCATTCATCATCTTGGCACCATGAATGTCTGTAAAATTCTGACAGAAATCCATCCAGTTGCTGAACTAACAAACTGACATTGTCATCCCTATGTTATTCAGCAACATCTCTTTCTAAAAACAATGTTCCAGTTATTTTGGAGAATCCACCAACACGGCTTTGCTTTCAATGGAAATACTATCTACTGAAGAAATAGTCGCATGTTCTCTGGATTATCCAGAGACAATCCTTCAGAGACATGTAGCTGTAGCTGATAATGTAATGTTTTCAGTGCTGTGAGTACCACAAACAAAATTCATCCATTTATGTACATTCTGTCAAGTAAAAAACTTAAAATATGTTATATGAAACAACCCTTTAATTGCAAGAGCAGTGTGCTGAATATCCTTTTCTTCTAAATACGCAGTATTAACAACAAATTATTTGGTTGAGCTGGACTGACAGAAGCTCCTCACCATTGGTTTGTGCAGCACCAGAGTTCTGCTGGTTGCCGTATCCCCGCAGATTGTAGTTTAGGCCTCCATTGGTGTAGAGCTGGTCTTGGGCAAAAGCTGCGCTGGAGATGGAGAACCCTGATGGGGCCACAGAGGCCGGGTCCCTCGAGTTGGGCTTGTCAACAGAGGCAGGCTCATCCTACGAGAAATTAAATGTTTTCAGTTTGGGCAGAATATTGTACTTCATGTTGTGCAGTTTGCCGTTAATGATGCGTGGCCATCCTAGCAGATTCCTGAATCCTGCTGGGCCAATTTACAAACACTGACTGCCAACACATTTACCGTCGGTTGGTAGACATCGAGCCTCATCCGCTTGGCAGCATTTCGGGTTTCGCTGTCACAGGCAGCAGCGAGGATGTTCTCAGCCATGGCAGAGGTGAGGTGAGGAGGTGTTGGTCGTATCTGGCAGCAAGGGTCAGTGAGATTTTTGGGCATTATGAATGTGAAACATTTCTTTAGCTTTATGATTCCATGTTGGATTTACGACATTTTAGCCAGGGGCACTTTTTACCTCAAAACCGCCTTTTTTCATCCGGCGACAGGACTTGAGGTAGGTGCGGATGCGCTTGCGGGAGCGCTCCTGGAACTCTGGGAACTGGCGGCTACAGGACTCGATTATGGCCTGGATTTTCTCCTTGGGCTGTTTGGAGATGGGCACCATGCGGTCCAGATTCTCATCCACAAACAGACGCACAAACATCTGACAGAGACAGAGAGAGGGGGAGGGGAGAGAGGGGATGTAGAGCAGAAAAATGGAGCAGGGGTGTGGGGTGTGAGAGTCGAAAACAAAAGAGAGGGAAAGGGAAGGAAGGGGATGGGGGAGCATTAGAGGTAGAGTGGAAGAAGAGAGAATAAAAAGGGAGGGGGAGGTGATGAAAACAAAAGCGATGGAAATGGAATCATTGCTCATATTCTGGACAATATTTCTAGAGTTTGCTCATTCACTCATGTTTGCATTTTTGCAACTCTATGCTGTAGTTGTGTTTTTTTATTAGACTCAGAAATGCACAGACTGGTTTTCACAGAATAAATAGTGAGTTCTTGACTATATTGCATTTGGATATGAGAATTTTTCTCATGTTTGATATTGCTAAGTACAATATCTATGCATAATAACAATAACAGTGCTGGCTGATATATATCAGTGCTGGAGAGCCACAGATCAGAGCAGCACTGTATTGCATTCTCTCTATATGAATTTAATTATACCATAACAGTTAGACAGGTTACTTACATTGAAGGCTTTAAGTCTCTCAGGGTCCATTCCCTCAGCGTCATTGATCTTGTCACTGTCATCGTGGTCGTCATGATCGTCATCATCATCGTCAATTATCTGTGCCCGACCAGAGGTCAAGTCCTCTGCGCTCATGCTCAGTTCAGTTTTCACAGAGTCATAGCTTCCTGAGCTGTAAGGAGGGGACTAGAAACACACAGAAATACACAAAATACATTTATTAGATAGATTAAACAGACACAAGAGCTGTTTTTCTTAAATGTCCATTTAGACAAAGTTGGCACCACACGAGAAAGAAAAAGTATTTGAAATTGTGATTAATCAAATCAAGTTTCTATTCTTACCTTGTTGTACTCTGTTTTGATGGGGTACTTCCTGTTGGCGTCTGCGGGGTAAGAGTTCAACGGCGAACTCCCTGAAGTCAGCAGTCTGTCGCTCAGGTTGACCGGCTGCTGATCCTCTAAGGAGGACGAGGGCGAGGTGGTGCTGAAGTCCAGGGGAACACTCAAACCATTCTCTGTCACCTCCCCATAAGGGGCCCCACCATCTGGGGGGTTACCACCCACAGCCAGCTCCGGGGAGGTCAGGGCCGGCAGCCCGTTGGCACTGCCGCTCTCTGAGGAGTCGTCATCTGGAAGAAGGGAAGGAACAGGAGGACAGGGCAAAGAAACAGATACAGAGATGAGCTGTGTGGATGTGGATGTAATCATTTAGCATTAATGTGGGTTTGTTTACTACAATAGGCACTATTTTTTCTTGTGTAACAACAGGGTGGGTGTGACAACAGGGGGATGGGACTTCCTGCCTCATGTTGTGCTTTCTGAAACTGTTGAGGAAGTGGGTAGTGGGATCAACTGTCAAGATGAATAAAAGTTCGAGCAGAAGGGGGGAATCTTAGGAGTTTTAACAGCGAAGCGAGAAAGATGTGAAGATGAGGAGGGACTGATGGGGGAAGGGAGCCTTCACTTCCTGGTGTGTGCAAATTAGAGCTTTTTAACCCACTTTATGGCAGTTTACTGATTTCACTGTGATGGTTTCTACATGTGTTCTGCACACCTATATTCGCTGGAACAGAGTAATTCTCCTTCTCAATGATTTACCCCATTTTCACTCTTTTCTGTAGTGTTCATAATCTGTGCAGGTTCACATTGGCCTTTGTCCTACTTCTCTAAGCCCTGTACCCTGAGAGAGAGGGGTGCACAATGGATTGGGGCTGCGGTGGTGTCCCACCCCCTGTAAGAGTGGATTTATTTGGATTAGTCCGCTAAGAACGAGGCAAGCTGTTTCCTGCATAACACCAATCTGTGCTGTTCCTATGTAATGAGTATAGACACCTTCAAATTCCAGAAAAAGGACCACAAAAAAATAAAACCACATCATGCCAACAACAACCAGGGACAACTATTAGTTCAGGATGGCTGTATGTCCACAGTTTTCTTACCGTCCTCTTCTTTAACGGTGGCTGCTGGGTTGCAGACTCTCTCTCCATTAGGTGGACTGGGCTCAGGCACTGGGGGCTGCTCAGCTGCGACCCATGTGGGCTCAGTGATGTTCATGTCCTCGCTGCTTACCGAACTGTCATCCTGAAGGGAGTCAGCGGGAGAGAAAAGAGACTGTGAGACAGGGGAGAAAACCTGGATGAGCAGAGGGAGTGGACCACTGAGTGTCAGACGAAAGATCCTCTCACTTTTGACAGCAACTTCCAAGTTTCCCTTTGCATCTTTTGTCTTTTATTGCTGTTAAAGGACAGGTTCACACTTTATGAAATTTATCTTAGAACTAAACTGACACGCCCTTATTTACTTTGAAATTGGTATTGATTGCTGTTATTGTTCCTGCTGTTCACAAGTCCATTTTGAAAGCTATGTCAATGTAAGTCATAGGGGACATAATCCATAGTCTTTGTTCTGTGTAACAAAATCATTTTAAAGTTAAAGTCAAGTAACTTGATGTGAAAATGATGCCTAAGCAGTCTGAGTTACAGAAATTATGAAGGTGCCTTCCAAAGTTACAGTATTTTAAGCATGAAATTCCCTCTTTGTGCTTCCACACACTGTGTTTTCTTGTTGACCATTGGGGGAGGGACACTCACAGAAAGTCTCATGTCAAGGAGGAACAATTACAGCCAGCAATAAAGTTTTTAATGCACATTTATGATTTGAAACAATGCGAACCTGCCCTTTAATGGTAATTTTCCTGATTTAACTCTTAATAAAACATGCTGATGTCTGGCAGCAAAAAAAAAGGAAAATGAAGGAGCATCCCTGTTGAGTAATGTGTTTCTTGGAGCACTGCTATTTTTAACTCATGTTACGTAGAGACCCTAAAGATGCTTGTTGTAGCGTATCACAAGTATGAGTAAACCACGGGGGTAAGGATTAGTAAAGGAGAGCAGAATAATCTCACAAACTATTCAAAGGCTGTCCTGAGCTTTTGGCTTCAAACTACAGAATAATAATCTGCTGAACAGCCATGACCACATTTCAGACCAGAGCTTTACAGAGCGGCCCAGGCCAGTTTACTTTATGCTAACATAAATAGCGGCTTCTCCTTGGCATGCATGCACACTGTCATGTATCAGCTGGCAGAAGGATACAAAACTATGACTGTGTGATGGAAACAGAGCAGAAATACATCTCGTCATCTCGTTCCACCCACACAAGCACACAAATAGGCCTAAACTCCTGGGAAAATGCATCCGTCCCTCTGTAAAGGGGTTTTGAGGAGGACCAAAATGCTCAGTGACAGCTCCATTAGGTACCAAGTGAGCAATGTAGCATTAAAAAGAGAGGGAGACACACACAGAGAGAGGGAGAGAGTCTGTAATTACTAGTTGGAAATGTAGCATCATTAATGTCTATGCTTTAGGAAAGTACATAATGGATAAGACAGGAGAATTTACTTTGAAAAACTGAGACCAAGTTCATCGCCCAAATTAATTTACAAAGAATTAAGTTGAAGTACCTTCGGTGGCCTTCAGTCAGATATTGTAGAGTAGAATTGAATATATTTTATAGTCTCAACTAAATATCTGTGAATTGGTGACAAAGGAAGCAATTTTGAGATGTCACTTTGGGCTTTAGGGCATTTTTATTGGCCTTTTCACTATTTTCTAATATTTTAAAGTCCCACAAACATCCGTTGCAGCCCTGTTTTAGTGGTGGTTTTCATAACTAGGCCTGTATCCAGTCTAAATGGCCATACTGAGGTGCATTACAGTGAGGATGTTTGGTAAAAAGGATCCGACAGATCGGAGGCATGTTTTCATCCCCAACAGAATGTATGTAGTGTGTTTCTTTGTCACTTGCCATAAGAGAAAAGCAAGGTTATACTGGAACAATTCCCAAAGTTCTGCAGAACAACATGTTGCAACAACAACAGTTGCAAAGTGACTGCTGCAGCAGACCAGATACACGTTTACAAAGCTTCTACTGATCTGCTTTTGTCAAGAGGACAAACCTGATGCATTTTTAACCAACTGCTGCTTTGAAACTGGTTCTCTAAACCAGCGCAGCAGAGATATGGAACAAATTACTACAAGTCTCCTACAACACTGACATAACCCTCTGTGATGGTTAATTATTAAATTATTGGCCTGCTCATTCTCAGTCTGCACACAGATGCGCCCAACAGTCTGAGCATTTGTTAATTTGTACTCACCCGCAAATCACAGTCTGGGTCATTGTTCCGGATAATCCTAATTATGCGTGAGTGAGGTCGACATTATCATCATCAAGTACCGCTCCCTGCACTTTAGTGACAGTGGTTTCTGAGTGTTTCTGTCACAGCCACACATGGGAGTGGTCTCACATGTGACGTCACTCTGCACAGAAGATTTACTAATCCTCAGTTCACACTGAGCTCCTCCTCCCAGCAGACCGGAGTACTCTGATTGTTTAATAATGAATTAAAAATTAAGGGGGAGGATGTCTTATTGAGCCTGCACAAAGCATTTCTCCCTACAGCCTTGACAAGACTGAAAAAGAAAATAACAAAAGGATTTGTGCAGTCAATACGAATACAATTAGAGTGAAAAGGAGATCTTAATCCACCAGGATACAGTGTCTCTATGTCCACGCTTCACAAACATTCACGGTCCACTTGCAGAAAGAGGCACTTACCCTTTCAGTGGCAGTCATGCACTGCAGTTTCATTTGTTTCAGGTAGGTGGCAGTAAGAGGCATGTTGTAATCAATGAGGTCCGGGACCAGTGAGGTTGGTCTGTCATTTTCTGACAAAGAAAGAAAAGAAATTACAAAACAAAATAGCCTGATATACACACACTTAAAAAAATTATGATTTAATGTCTTATAGAGAGTAATAATGATCCGGTTTACTCATACTCCACATTTCGGAGAGAAATACACTACACCACTACATTTACCTGACATCTAATTACTTTTTAGATTAAGATTTTAAATATTAAACATATGCTCATTTTATACCTTATTATAGATTAAGCACCAAACTGTATATGAAATAGTTAAAATTAGCTCCATGTACAACTTTAATACATAATTATCCAACAATGTAAAAATATAATGCTGACAGGGGCCATTCTGCAAAATGAGTACGTTGTGGTGCTAATACTTCTACACTAACAGGTTTTGGATGTAGGATTTACACTTGTAATTGAGTGCTTTTATAGTGTCGTATTGCAACTTTTACTTAAGTAAATGATTGGAATACTACTTCCACCACTGTAGACTGCCCACCAAAACCCACCCAGAGAGAATTATTTAGTAAACAGAGATTTGATTTTGATACATGGAAAATAATCTATGCCCAATTAATTATGTACCCATGAATGTACAAACACTAATTACTAAACTAATTAAAAAACTATTATTGGATTACTTTGATAGTGAAGAAAAATTTTATTTAATGACTTTAATGCAAGTTCTAGCACTATTATCAGTGGATTTATGGATGTTTATTTGCAATGTACATTATATAAAAAATATCCTCAGAAAGCTAAGTCACACTGAATCAAAAAGAATGTGTATCACGACTGTGTGTTCAGATTGGAATAAGTTATGACTTAGACACGGACTGTGATTTTTGATGCATGTTGCGGGGCAAATCAGTAAAAATAACTAACTTCCTATTGTTTTTTAGTGTGCTGTTCTAACTACACAGATAAAGATCATAATTTAAACTGGACAGTACACCAATAAAGACAACAACAATTTTGATTTGTTTGGCTTTTCATTTTTCACTGAATCCAGCAGGGTCTGAGCTAATCACAGACACAGTAAGACGGAATTGCTGCCTTCGTTCCAAAGGTTGAAATCCAAACAGTAGCCTCAACTGCATGTAACACCTGAAATCAAACAATGTGGCCGAGAGCTGTCTGCAGTCTCCACACAGACCACTAGAGGGATTCGTGATCAGTTTAGTGGGTCTATACAATCCCAGAGATGTGGTCCTCTTAAGTCTTAGTTACATCATGTCAGTAATGGATATATACAATGTGTTTTATTAATGGGGGTTAGATTCAGAGAGTATAAACACCTAAAATCCTATCAGCTCATACTCAGAGTCTGACTCACTGTCACTCAGATACCAACCACAAACTGAAAACCTCTCTATTTTACGTCATACACAAAAATAAAATGTTTTATACCATCTTAGCATGCAACATATAATTAACTATTTTCCATGTCAGTATGTCAAACGATCCAAGCATTATCCACTCTTAAAGGTTAATCTCAAAAATAGCATTACAGTTAATGATGTCTCCTGAATTAGACAGCCATCCACAGCTCTGATGTGTGCTGTTACCTTTGAACTCTGCAGTGCTGGGGTTGATGTGCATCCTCTTCTGACACTCTCCACAGCTCATTAGGAACCGAGTCACCGCCTCTCTGGGCAGGAAGGCGTAGGTCTCTGCTATCTGTGCCGGGGGAGTGAGCAGAAGAGACTGGGTTACGGCAAAAATAAAATGGCAGCAGATATGGCTCAAGCTGTGGCTGAATTCAAACTGTGTGCAGGTGTTTGGGTTTTTTTGTGCCATGCATGTGTGAAAGTTTGGGGTCAGTGATGTGTTATCTCGATGTGGCATGAGGAGGAATCCTCCCTCTAGGCGTTCTCTCATTCCTTCGAATGGCCTAATTCCAGCTGCAGCCATGTATGCTACATATTTCTGTTGGATACCCTAAAACACACGTGGTGTTTGTCATATTTTTGATTCCTCTTCCTGCTCTCAGGTGCAGTGGAATCATATCTACATTTCTCTCTCTCATGCTCAGCCTTCCTCCTCTGTTTGTCTCTACTGCTATGCCACCCTCCCCTCCTCACCCCCTCTGGCGTTTCCCTGTAAAAATGCGACCTTCATGTGACCATGGAGAGACAGCAGGGGTGCCCACCCCCACTGGCCCACCATCACCACTGCCACAGCTCCCCATCCCCTTTGCCCCCCCACCCCTCATCCATCCCCTCGTGGCCCCTTGAGGCAGCTGAGAGGGAAAGGCCACCCAGAGGAGCATGCACCTCCCAGAAGGCCACAGTGACAGTTCCATATTATGCCCTGCCCCAGTGATGCTGCCTCCTCAAAAGGGTACAATCTATGAGACGTGACAGGACCTCTCTACAGGGCAGGAGGAATTGGCTCTATGATTTTTTTTCCAAACCTGGGGGGCAGTGGGGGAGGAGAGGGGGGTACCAAAGTCCTGCTAAACCCCTCAACACTGTACCACAGCTGAACACAAAGACCCTTGCTTTTTCAGGACACCCAAACCAAGACCACACCTCGGTTTGCAACGTAAACTCATACCTCATACCTGTTCCAGAGACATCCATCATGTGACACAAAAAACCTCTACTTTAAATACTTTGTTTTCCTGGTAAAGGTGGGTAGTTTTTCCCTTGGTAACTCCGGATGCCTGAGGTGTTAAACTTTAGTTTGGACATTATAACCCCCTGAAAGAATACTGAGCTCCCTTTGGGCCACTTTTCACATAAAAGGAAAGGAGATGTTGTCTGCATGCTGTAATTTGCATGCTTCCAAAAACAGTTTTATTGATGCATTCTCATCAGTGTCAGCTGTACTTTGTTGACTGCTGATTACCATATGTTAGCAGGCTAACCTGCTAAAATAAGATGGTGAGCCAGTGGTGAACATGGTAAACATTGTACCTATTAAACATCAGCATGTTAGCATTGTCATTGTGAGCATGTTAGCACACACTATCATTTAGCATAAAACACCACCAAGTACAGTCTCACAGACATGGCTAACATGGCTGAGTCTTTTTTGTCAGGTATGAAAAGTACTGTCTGTCTACTGCTCACATGGATGTTTTTCTGACAGACCTTGGTATAGATATGGGCAAAATGGCAGAAACAAGAGGGTAATGTTGACTTCACTGTTAACATTCTCAATATCCACAAGTATAAAGAGATTCTGAGAGCAGTGCTAGAACGGTTAGCTGGTTTTACCCACCGCTTTGTAGGTCTTCTTTTGGCCTGCATGTTTGGGTGCTCTGCCAGGGTCAGCGCCCATCTCCACATGCATGGCATAGATGATGTCAAAGAAGTCTTCTACCACGGCTACACGCTTCAGGGAGGAGTTGTCTTGGGCTGAATTCCCATCTGAACACTGAAACACAAACAGAATGCAGTTTAGTTTAATGTCCCGCTTGTATCATGCACAACAGCTGATTTCTAATGTTATAGCTGTCCTGAATACATGTGATGTAAACAGGATCTTTAAGATCATACAGACACACTGAACAAGGTGACCAGCAGTCATTCTATCTTTAAATTTCTCTTTCAGGTGGAGAAGTCTCAGCGCGGCTGGGTCAGCAACCATGGCCTCATGTCTGCAATGTTTAAAAATAACACCACCAATACTGTACAGGACCAACACTCCCTTTTACCACCACCTCTGGCGCCCATACTGCTGACCCTGTCGTCATAGAAACTGCCTCTGATTTCTCCCGGGCAGGTGTGCTGGGCAAAGGGTCATGTGACACACCGTACAAGCGGGATCGTTAGGACAACGGCCTCCATCCGCAGCACCACATGGGGCTTTCCTCTCCTTTCTGTCCATCTTTTTCTCTCTAATCCCCTCATTCCCACCAAACCTTACGAACAGTCGACACTTTGTATTTTCCACTAGATCTTATCTTTATATTTCTGTACCTGCTGATATTTTAAAGCGCCCCAGCAAGCATAAAATGGGGGAGAAAATGGATTTGGGGATTTAATTAGTTTTTCCACACAGATATGAGACAAGCTTTGACATTTTGTGGAGATTGGGTTGTAGATGGGGAGTGATCTTTTCTTGTTTGAGTGAGAGGAGAGGGTCCGGAGTTCAAAAAGTTGTCCCCCTGGCATTGAGGAATCACACTTTTTTTCTTCCCCCTCTCCTTGACATTTCTGCAGAGTTCCTGGGATCTGACATTTCATTTTCTCGTTTTCCCCCAACTGCGTCTCTCTTCTGCCTCTATCTCTTCATCCCCTACCTCTGTCCCGTCTTTCTTTCTCCACCACCCCCCCTCCTTGCTCCTGCTCTCCCAAGTGCGAGGTAATGATCGTTGCCATGGCAACTAAAACCAGCTCACAGAGCGGGTTTGTTTTAATCCGGCCCTCTCTCTCTCTCCCTCTCTCCTTCTCTCTTTTTAGCCACTCTCCCCTGTCAGCATGGTCAAATGTAATGATAATAAATGAAATAATAACAATCCTCCACCTCATCATCACAGTTGTAATCTATTGGAGGTATCATCATCATTCCCCCGGTGACATCACCACCACCGCTGTTGCTGCTGCTGCTGCTGCTGCTGCTTGGGACAATGGTGTCAGGTCCATTCATGCTGGATTTAGATAATCTCATACAACTGTGGGGTGTGCAGTGCACCCACACCGTTGCTGCATCCTCCAGTGAATTCTACCCCAACAAAATATCTAACACACACTGTATATCCTGCAGGGAATGTATTCTTCGACCTGAAATCCAACCAAAAAACACATACATACACAATATTGCAAACCACCGGTGTTGGTAAGCTTGGCTAATTCTGCTAAAGTTGAACTATTATTTTTATTATCGATTAAAGTCAGAAAAATGCCCATCATAATCTCCTAAAGCGTTGGTGACATCTTCATATTTTTTGTCTGACCAACAGAAAAACAGAAAATCAGCACATTAGAGAAGCTGAAACTAAATTAATATTTTGCATTTTTGCTTAAAAAATTACTCAAAAGATTAATCGCTTATCAAACTTCTTGCTGATTATCTTACTAATTGATTAATCAAGTTCTACTTTTGTATAATACTATGCCTTATTAAGTAAGAACTTGCAGGCTAGACTGCATTTTGTTAACGTCCCACCACGTCAGTTCTAGTACCTGAAGGCCTTCTTGGGCTCCTCTGCTTCGATAAGCTCTTTAGCTTCCAAACACAAGCCGACAGGGAGTTAAACATTCACCTCTGAACACGACATGCTTTTAGTGTGTGCGCCGCCCTGTGTATTTAAGTGCAGCACATATCAGGCAGAGCTTGTAGCCGAAGCATCTCAGAGGAGAACAGCTGTTGAATAGCGCTGTAGATATTTGGTCTCATCAGCAGCATGCTGTTATAAACAGCAAAGGCGACATGTCAGCATCCCTAATCGCCAGCAATGCCGCAAAACTCTTGCCCTCCTTCTCCTCCATCCCTCCTTCTCTGTATCTTTCTAATCCTGTAGGACTTTGCTCTCCCCCAGCCACTGTACAACCAGCCCCCATCCCCTGCACACTCTCCCTGTCCCGCACCAAACCGCTCTGTTGCTAGGAGACTGGAGGGGTTGAGTTGGCTGCCCCCACCCCCGCTGGCAGTCACACACACTGTAGCAGAGAGTCGCTGAGGGGAGAGAGGAGCAGTCCTGCACACAGGCAGGTCAAGAGGAGGAGGAGGAGGTGACAGAGGTGGAGGGGGGAGTTCATCGGCAAGCAGCTGGGTCACAAAGACAGCCCGGAAAAGATAGGAGAGACGCATCACACAAGAAATTAGCTCCACGGGTGAACAGATGAACACTCGCGTGACGGTCAATAATCCCAATTTAGCTTTGCACCTAACTTTAAAAGTCAACATACACACAAAGATGATGCTTTCTATTTGGCGAAGTGGTCGCACAATAAGTAGCTTAATTTGTGGCAGCAGGGATGTGTGCTCAGGTACTTTCTGTGTTTGTGTGTGTGCGTGTGTGTGTGTGCGCACCCAGCAAGTAGGGAGTAAAGATGGCTGTGTCAACAGTAGTCATGACTCAGATTATCTCACTGCAGATGTGACAACAGGTCATATTTTAAAGCCCCGTCTCCCCTCTGTAAATCTATCAGCTGGCTAATGGACACGTAAATGGAACAATCCTAGTTTCTTCTGTGAGGATGTGTGTGTGTGTGTGTGTGTGTGTGTGTGTGTGCTACAAGGGGAAGATAAAGGTTCATATGACAAAGAAAAACTGGGATAAAACAGACTATTACCTCCACAGTGTCCCAATTTTTTAAATAAAATCCGTCCCCTTCTATTTCTTTTCTTTTCACCATCATCCGCCTCTCTGCCTCAATTATAAAGCCTCTGTCATTAAATCCACATTAGGTGTATCCACACCGAGCTCTACCCCTCTGTCCGACGTCTGTGTGTGTGTGTGTGTGTGTGTGTGTGTGTCTCTCTCTCTCTCGGTAGCCCCTTATGATGAACATTATTTGATAGAGTGTGTGACATCCCCAATATCCCACCAAGCCGGAGACACAGACAGTCCCACCAGCCCCGCAGACTAACACTGTTGACGTTCCAGTCACTGATTCAAAATGGTATGTAAATGACTCGCACATACATCATCACATCCCAGAGTCCATTTCACCATTTTCAGGCTATTATCATGCTGTCCCAGTTCGTTAAACGTTGGCCTTGCAAAGCTATTAAATATGACAGTAGTGGTGTGGTAGAAAGATTATTGCCATCTTACAGACTCTCTCTGTGTGTGTGTGTGTGTGTGTGTGTGTGTGTGTGTGTGTGTGTGTGTGTGTGTGTGTGTGTGCGTGCGTGTGTGTGTGTGTAGCAGAACTCAGACTATCTCCCACACAGGGGGGGAGGCCCCCGGGCCAGTTAAAAATGGTGTTAATTTCTCCTCCTATGGGAAAGCAAAGAACGGTCTCTCCATGGCAACAGAGAGGGTGCTGAAGGGAGGAAACACGGAGCATGCGATCAGCGACCCCCTCTTTGTATGAGCACACATACACGCACAACACTACCACATAGGTGGAGTATGGATTTCATTTTGCCTATTTATAGTAAGTCACAGAAACATAATAACGTCTGAAATGAACACATATTGACATAAATTCATTTCTTCATGAATCCCAGTTTGGCTCTCGTTTAATTAACAAAGAAGTGTTCTCCAGCCTCAAACACAGGCACATGATGAAAAAAGTCAATTACCATCGCACATGCACAGGTAAATTCAGCCTTAGTCCATCCGCGACTGATGCCGAATGAGATGAGAATTAGGTGATTCTTATTTGGGGCGGTGAGCGTTTACCATTTAAACCCATGACTGTGAGCCCATGTGTTACCCCTCTAATAAGAGCTGCCAGAGAGGGACGAAACAACAACCAAAAAAAAAACAAAAAAACAGACAAAAGCGCTGGAGAATCTCCATGCAAAAATAGCATTAATGCAAATGCTGTTGAATAATAGGGCCAGTATTCTTTTGACTCTGTGGCCCTTCCACAAAAGAGGAGCTCTCAGGGGAAATGTGGACTAATTAATCAGGTAATAATGATGTTCCTCTTCCCATCTGATGGTGAGGCACAAACATTTAGGGCCCATTTTCCAAGACACAGATTATGAAAAGTGGCGGAGGATCGGACGTCCCAAGACAAATCTGTATTTTTTTGTAAATTGATAGCATTATTAAATCCTCTTTCCTGAAAACCTCTTTTCTGTGACTGTCCTGTTTAATCTTATCCTGTCCTGTCACTTTAAGACAAAACATCATTTTCATTATCAATGAACTGCAGATTAATTGTTAATTTATCGATTAATCCTTTTTGGTCAAATTTAAGAATATACTGAAAAATGGCCCACAGCCTAAGGTGGTGTCTTCAAATTTCTTATTTTACAAGACATTTGCAAAACATCAACTTGAGCTATGAGAAACTGTGATGGACTTTTTTCTATCATATTCTGACATTTTACAGTCCAAACAATTAATAGAGAAAATAATGAAAATATTGATAGTTGCAGCCCTCGTTTCCAGTTAATTTTCTGCTGACCGACTGTGAATACTTTAAGTTTAAGGACACATGTTTTTTGGGGGGTCTGAAAGAGTGTAAAGAATGGTTTTGGACTAATCATATGAGTTCAAATATAAAGGTTTACACAAGCTATTGCTGACTGGATTCATAGTTTGTGACAGCACCTCTAACAACTTTTAAACATCAAGAGAGGTGTTTGTGGACCGTATTGTGTACATACATATATATATATATATATATATATATATAGAGAGAGAGAGAGAGAGAGAGAGAGAGAGAGAGAGAGCGAGAGAGAGAGAGAGAGCATGTCCACTAAAACCTATTTGTGATTTCAGTTGGCATGGCAACAAAAAGCAACAGCTCGCCGTACTTCAAATTTTTCAGTACAACGCTCATGTCAGCCAAGGGGAAATGCACAGGGCGTTTAAGCGTTTCTTTTGAAACTGGCTGCACTCTGACTCCCTTCATCTCGGGCAAGTCTTGTGCTCATACAGTGTGCAGTTCAGTGGTGCATCTCTGTGTCTGTTTCTGGTCCTATTCCCCTCCTCCTCTGTAGCGTCCTCTAATCAGGACATAATGAGAGCTAAACGAGGTTGCATCTCCACACTGAGGGCTGCTGGATTCTGTGAGCACTGGGAGGGCTCTGAGTTGTGCAGAAAGTGGGCGAGACAACATGGGATGGAGGAGATGGAGAGGAAACTCAGAGAGAAAATAATTCACTGTCCGGCCTGAAAAGAAGGCATTTACACTGAGTCTGGGCTACTGTGCCCTGCCTTTCTGTCCCGTCACACACTGAAGCCGCCTTGTATGGTTCACCGACACATAGAAGAGACCTTCTCTGTCTGCACATCAGCCACCATCCATCCCTACCCCCACCCAGCCTCCTGTCATTTAGCCCCATGCCTGCCCCCATACAGAAACTTGGCACACCCTGGGAGCAGCTGCAGCGGGGCTTCCAATGCTTGAGCTCCAGAGACACGCCCCCGGCCCTGCAGCCGTACCAGGAGGCAGTGACCATTGTGTGTGCGTGTTTAAACGTCTGCTCGTGTGTGTGTCACTTTTCCACTGGCCCAGGACAGCCTAGGCCTATTTATAAAGCCTGCGAACACTGAATCAAAAAACCTGCTCTCTAATAGTCACATGCATATAAATTGGTTGATTTGTTGCCTCTGACTCATCATTAGAAGCAGCTTGTGTTGGTTGATGTTTTGTTTGTTGTTTAAATTTCCCAAGTGGAGCTGAGTCAGGAGGAAGGTTTCCCCCTGCTTTATGATATCAGCTACAAAGCGTGAGCATTGCTCTCCAATGAACGGTGAGCCACACTTTTTTTCAGTAAGACTCTTCTTTCTCGGCCTCTCCAATGGTTTAAAATGACCTCAGAAAATTATTTCAGCTCAGTCATTGTTATATGGGCCTCACAGAGAAATCAGACTGACCTGGAGAATGTTATATTGATTCATATATTGGACAAGAGGACATATAAGAATTTATATCAACAAGAAATGACAAGATGCCAATCAAAGCTAATCAACAACACATTTCAGGCACCATCTGCACCTGCAGAGGCAGATCACACCTGCCCTCTTGCCCAGAGGGAAACATAATATTGAGTGGAGATTAGAGGAGTTTTGTAAAAGCAGTTGGCCTGAATCTAAATTGTGCATTCACACAGGTATAACACCTGTCGAGGGATCAGTGCCATTCAATCCAATATCAAAGGATTCAGTCTGTAATCTGTGCCAATATCTTCTGTAGTTTGTTAACACAAAATGTGTTTCTGCTCATTGAGGTCCAGAGAGACTCGGTCCCAGCAGGGTGGGTGGGGATGAGATTATTCCCTGAAAGCCCTTATTTAAAATGGTGGTTGCCTCCTTGCTGGCACAGCAGGCCCCACACTATACAGAGACATGGGCGCGCGTGCACCTGCGCACGCGCACATCGAGAAAGCTACTGGGGCAGTGCTGAGAGTTCACCATGTACATGTTTATCTTGGCGATCCCTTAAAAAAGAAAAAATGTGTGGTTTAACCCTGAACACACCTGCAGTCCCAGAAACATACAGCGGGATATGGTGACCTGACTTCTATTACGCATCCAGTGATCCAGAGACATGTAGAAGTGAAGTCTGAGCACTAACTGTGGGCGTATGTCGCTATCAGTCCCGAGCAGACCCTTTTGTTTCCGCCACAGCCTCTCACGTGGTCACCAATTACGCACAATTGCCACCCTTCATCAAAATGCAGGAACTGATTTTAAAATCTTTCTTTTGCAAAGACAGTCTTAATTATGGAGCTTAATGTTGGAACGTACACAATAAAATGCGGCAGAGGCTAGAGACTATCCTGGACTACACAGGTGTTGCCAGAGCAACGAGTGCCTGCGAGCCGATCCGCATCCTGCCCAGGACAATGAAAAGTGGGGTGCAAATACTGAGACTCACACAGGCTGGCACACTATTGCATTTATATAATTTATATAAAATTAAACATATATTTTCACACCCTATATTCGCTCTCTCAGAGGAAGACAAATGAGTCTCACCGACGCACGGACACAGTCCGTGTTGCTCGGTTTAGACGGGACAGTGAGGGCGCGTGCCTTTGATGAATCACTGACAATAAAACCTGCTGAGCTGCACAGCAGAGAGGTGAATCTGACATCTTCTAAGTTGGCGTTAATGGCCTGTGGTCCCTGAATAAGCACACCGGAGTACCCTGACATACCCGACCCACGAACATGCCGTTGCATCCACGCGCGCGCGCGCACAGCCTCACCATATCGGGCTGCACGAGACCTGAACAGCACGGTTCAAACTAAATGTTGTCAATAGTCAATTATGTCGTGCTTTGCACCCGGCAACGTGCAGTTGACAGGACTTCAACCTCACTAGTGAGATGGCTATGCATGATAGGCTACCTTTTACAATTGCGATTGCCAGGAGGCACCGGCGTTGCTATGGCAGCAAGGGATGAGAGTAGGGCTGCTCTGGTTGGGATGTGGACAAAGTGAAGCTTTATAAGGAAGGACGGGGCGAGCCGGGACGACGAAACATTATAAGTTGTCATTTATTCAAGTGACAGTTGCATGTGTGCAGCCTGAAATAATAGCAACTTATAGGCTGCAACGGGACATCTCATGCGCGTGTACACGCATGTCTTTCTCCTGTCACACACACACACGCACACATAGCCTACGCGCGTGCGCGCGCGCGCACACACACACACACAGAAACACACACAGAAACACACACTTTACCGTTGACTTGACCGGGACATATAGAACGGGTTTCCCTGGAGCTCCTTTCTTGTTGTGCTCTCCCAAAACGTTGGTCCCGACTTGAAATCCTTTAGACTTCACCCAAAATTTGAATTTGGCGTTGATGTGGCTGTTATCAATATAAACGCCATCCGACTCGTCGTTCTGTAACAGTGTCTGCATGATTTTATTATATTTTCGCCGGGTGACGGTCTTTGTTTTACCGGAGTCTCCATAAGTCCGGAGACACCAGTCCTGAAATTCGCTGAACATCTCCGCCTCCAACACGACCGGACTCCGGCTCCTTTTGGGCGCATCCACGCACGCCTTTTTCGTTGCCATCGCTCCCTCTCTCCCTCTCTGTCTGAACCCGTTAAAACAGCCCAGGCTAATAAAGAAAAGACTCTGGTGCTTGCTGTCCCGCGTCCAGGAGGCTCGGTTCAGGTTTTGGGACGCTACCTCCCCGTGGTTTCCCAGCAAAAGTGACCCGGACAGTAGCACACCTGTTTGCAGAGGAGCAGTGCTGTCCCGAACCGCAGCGGTGAAAAATGTCACTTCCTCACATCAACCGCTGAGGAGCAGAAAGGGGGGCTGTCCTACAGTACGCTGAGCGGGTATCTCCCACCTGTGCGTAAAACGCTCTTCTCTAAAGGGTATGAAGAAAAAAAAACCCACAGTCCTCGCTAAACAACAAAGAACACAGACAAGCGTGGAAACAAACGTCGCTCTCAGTTCCTATCGACCTACTTTAACAGACACTACAACACTATTTTCGGATGCGGGTTGCTCAACCCCCATTTAAAAAAACCTTAAAGATGCTCACGGTGTGCTCCAATATGCCCACATATCCGATCAACACGCGCCACCTGGGATTGTTTCAGCTCCTCACACCTGTTTGAATGTGATTCGCGCTTTTACACTGTCTGCTCTTTCTATCCCGTAAAAAACACACACAGTCATATCTGCACTGGTAATTTGCAGCAAAGTCTGCGGTTTACAAGCGTAATGTTGCCCAGACGCAGTGAGAAAATATCCGATTTGGAGACATGGAAGGTGAGCGAGGGGTGGGGGCAGAATTTATTTTATACAGTCTGAAGAATATGCTAGAAAACATTTATAATAAGAAACTCTTTTTGTAGATGTATAGATAGGCCTATATTAAATGTGGGTGAAATAGATACAGTCATGAGGAAAACAATGTAGCCTCATATAACAACTGTGGCTCTTTTTTTTTTTTACATCTTGAATTTTTGTGCTTTTGTGATATCCCCAAAAAGATTGTCTAACTCTACTGGGTAGATTGGGGGGCGAAAGAGTTAAACAAATGGTTAAACCAGTAATTTGAGAAAATAAGTTTCTCTTGTGGTGATTTAAAAATGCTTGTGGTGATTCAAAAAATCTAAATACCTGCCTCAGTACAGAAAATAAAGCCTTTTTATTTAATTTCTACTTTGTTAGTTTCACATTGGGAAACAAGGGAAGGAAAAGCTGCACAAATTTAGGATCTGTATTTGTCTCCGATGTGTAGTTTTCTTCTCTTTCTCTGCGTGTGTGTGTGTGTGTGTGTGTGTGTGTGTGTGTGTGTGTGTGTGTGTGTGTGTGTGTGTGTGTGTGTGTGTGTGTGTACGTACATTATAGGCCCATGCTGGCGGTGGTGACTGCTGCTGTTGCCATGACAGCAGCGCAGCAGTGTCTCCGGCCGTGCAGAGGGTGAGTGGGATGCCCCGTCCTCATCTCGCCATCCTGACTCAGACAACGGCATGCTGGACCAAAAAAAGAAAAGCCCCACCCAGACTGAATGACAAGCAGCTCGACACTATCGTTAACAGCTCGTCAGATAAAGAAAAAACTAAACGCACATGTGTTTCTATGTGAATGGCCAGGGCCTTTGCAAGCTATTTCATTTCATTTCATCATTTGGTCTCGTGTTGTGTCTTCTCTCAGGACTGGCCTGCATGCAGGATGAGCCCCACGGACCCCCATCCACCCCTCAGGAGAGGAAACATCGCAACATGCTGCTCTTATTTTGAAAGGATTCGATTTTAGACGTGAATCTCCAGTTTGTTTATTATTGTTTATTGCCTATTTTTTACTGCCACTTTTTTTTACAGATTTAGTTAGGCCTATTGTTACTTTGCAAATGCAGATTTATTAGCCTACATACAAAATATATGGTCACTTTATCATATATGACGTGTTATTATACATTTAACAGAATATAAATCAGTTGCATCTTGACTAGCAACAACATTGATTCCCATCCTCTTTGGCTTGTGACCCCCAAGGAAGCTTATTGTGAATCCTTGTGAAATTAGTATGGTCACACAGTAAAAATCATGGGTCAAAACTGACCTAGTTCGGGTCGAGCACCAACACAATAATGGATTAACTTTACCCATGGATAGAAAACTAGAAGACAATAATCTGACTGTAGCTCTTTTAGTATTTGGAACCAGCTGTTAATACGGTAACAAGTGTAGCCTATCTTTTGCAGGTTTGAAAGTCAACTAACAATAAATATGTCAAGTTATATTTTCAAGCATATTTTAGTTTGGGAAATAACCCAAATAACAGTAATATGAATAATACTAAAACAGCCAGTTGGTAAAGTTAAAACAGTATTCCTTTGGTGCTATAAAGACCCAAACCGTGTGCATTTTTAATCCGGCATTTCACCGTTTTGACTTAGTCACCTTTGGTGGACTTTCAGAGGTCAGAGGAGCAGAAAGTCTCCACTATTTTACTTATTTTAAGGATTTTTTTAAGGCTGTAAGAGGTAAACATGTGAAGTATTTCACCAGACAAAAAACATACATTAGAGACATCCATCCATCCATCCATCTTCATCCGCTTATCCGGGATCGGGTCGTGGGGACATTAGAGACAAAACAAGAAAATATAAACAAATATCATGAACAGATTTTTTTATTTGACCTTTAATCATCAGGTGACACCTTAGATTTATCATGGGACCCTTGAGGGATCCTGACCCCCAGGTTGGGAACCATTGAGTTGTAACATTAAAATACTGCTTACACATTAATGCATCAGTAATGATAATAACATAAAATTACATAACCATATACTGTATCACTCAGGGGCTTTTGTACATTTTGCTGATAAAACTTCAATGTACATTTTGAATGAATGGAGTGTTTAAACATTGTGGTATCACTTTACTCAAGTGAAGGATCTAAATACTTCTTCCACCAATGGACAAAACATACACATGTTTAACCGGACAACTGCCCTCCTGTAAAAGACCGATCCCTCTCATCCTCTGAGCAGAGATCATTTCTCAGTGCCGCCAACCGTGCGGTTCAGCTGTCAGACCTGTAGGCAGGGTCACGCCTCCTCACTCCTAATGAGGCAAAACTGCTGTAATTACGCTCGCAGTCCCCCACAGAGCACTTTCCTTTCACCATGAGCGGACAGCTCCTGTCCTGGAGGGCCACAGCGAGGGCTGTCTCGCACGGCGATACCCCACGCTCAAAAATAAAAACCCTCACTTAAAAACACAGGCCTGGTGACAGCAGCTTCACATGCATCTGCTCACACCCTGACCTGCTCCCCACTAACCTCTGGATTAACTGAGTAGTATATCCACCTCTCTGCCCACATACAATGTCGTCTCCATGCCACAGACAAAATATTTCCTTATGTGTGCATGGTATCCACAGGTTTACTTTATTTAAAGGTGCACTCCACGGATTTTACAAGCCCTTACTCAGCCTGAGAAAACAGCACAAGATTAGCAACAGAGTGAATATATCTGGTTCTTTGATAAATAGGTACAAAGCTGTGTACATAAATTTCAGGGGAGAATATAAATACACCTCTCAAGGCGCATTTCAGCAAGAACAATCCAACTACAGAGCTTAAAATTCTGACTTTAAATTTATCGTTCAATTTTGTTTAAATTCAGAAACAAAGTTTAGGGTTGTTACATTATCCACTGAGGATATTTTTAACACGACACGACGTTTGTCTTTTATTAAGAAATATTTTACTAATACTTTACTTTAAAACCATAAAAGTAAAGTATTACTAAGATATATATTGTTTGTATTTGAACCATAAAATTAATCAGAAATTACTTGGTCATAAATATGCTATTTTTTGCAACTTCATAAGGGTTAGGGTTATCACATTGTAAAAGTTCATCATATGTTCTGTATTCAAAACCTTAATCTGCAAAGTAACTAAAGCTTTTAAATAAATTTAGTAAAAAGTACAATATTTTCTCTAAAAAATGTAGTGCAAGTATAAATTAAATGTCAAGTTAAGTCTGTCGACTGTCGTTACAACAGCCAGGAACGCTAACAAACCAGCGGTATCGACAGTCCTGGCAAACGACCCCACTGAGGTTAAATAGCTTAGTTTCCCTACCAGTCCCTTGGATGAGGGACGAAACATCTTCTAGTATCTTCAACCAAGTCCAGTTGCCCCTGACTTTAACCGTCTTTGGATAACTATGACCTGGATGACTGAGAATCTTCAAAATTACTTAAGTAACTTGAGTAAATGTTCTTTAAGTTAACCAACACTGATGGTTTCACTGAGTGTTCATCCAACCACACTCAAACTTTTTTCCTCGGAGGTAGTTGCACAGATACTCAGAGGATGTCTGCAGATCTCGCTGTAAAGGGAATTTCCGTGTAGTGTAACACAATCTGTCTTGGAGGAGGGTGCACCCTCAGCAGAGTTTCAGGAGGGACGTTAAACAGAGACAGAGAAACAGACAGTGACACGGAGCAGTGAGTGTTAGACTGAATAAGAGTTTGAGAGACAGTGACACTGTGAGGGGCAGTGATGGTTAAACAAGTTTACCCTGCTCGGCCTGTGTTGATCTCCCAACGTGATAAAGTCTGAGTGACAATTTGAGAACTACTAGTGCCTCCTGATGGTGGAGCTGATGACTGCATCTCCTTTGTGCCCCCCTACCCTCCACCCAATCCTGAACTAGACTTGTCCTATACAAGACCACACAAATCAAAATATCTTTCTGTTTCAGTTCACCGCATGGTTTGTTTGTCTGTGTTGTAATATTTGCATTTTGGACTGAAATATTCTTACATGTATGAATGTTATAATATACCTCCTTTTAGATTAAAAGGGTCAATTCACCCAAATCACATTTTCCCCCTTAGTGGTGTCTAGTCATGAAAATTGTTTTATTTGCTTAGATTTTTAAATATCAACAAGACAATACAAAAAAGTGAGTCATTATTATTTCATTTCTATTATTATTATTTTTGTAATTTTGGGTGCTGTTAGCGTTGAAAAATTTAATTTTAAAGACTCAACAGTATCATTTCTTTCCGGATTGTCTTTGTTACTCAGGGTACAGCGCCTTTCAGACAGGTTAGTGCTTTACAGATAACTGACAAGGTGATAATAAGACAGTAGGAATGCAAACAGTGTAACTATTTTAAGACGAATGCATGTGACAGAAAACTGTTGAAAATGTAATAACAAAACTGATAATTATCTATGTAGAAATCTGTTTGTGATATCTATCCTTAGTCTCCTATCTATACAATAATATAACAATACATTCTAGTCTGCAAATGACTGAAATGTCTTTCAAATTTGATGATGCCATGACAAGGTAGAGGACTAATATATATATATACACACACACATATATCAATAAATATACATACTATAAGAACACTAAAGGATTCTATTAGAC